ATCGACGAAAGAGCTTTTCTTGCTATCACTCATCAATGCAAGAGTTTCTTTGAATTCACTACCTCCCATCAACATGCAAGTTTCTTTGAATTCGCTATCACCTATCAACACGCATGTGATTTCATCATGTATATCTTTTTAAGAGCTTCTCACCAGCACTATACTATGATCTTTTTTTCTTTTTCCTTTTTTATTTGTTTTTCCTTATTTTTCTTTGTTGTATTATGTATGTTAATGCATAATTTTGTCAAAATATATACCATTAAATTTATAATAAATTTTAGAAATGTATCAATTTTTTCTTTTGTTTTTCTGTATAAATTATTATGCTTTTGATAAAGTTCGTACAAATAAATACAACAAACTATAATTTAATCATCCACTTAACCTAATTATATATTTTAATTAAAAATAAAAAAAATAATGGGAGGAAAAAACGCGACTCATTAGGTCCAACATAAGTGCCACAAGTGAAAAAACTTCGAGATTTATTTGTTTCTTTCATGCCACATCATCACAAGTAGAAGTAAAAAGTTGAGTTATTGATCCACATCACATACCCTCCACAATTCAGCAATTGACGCACTATTGGAGATGCTCTAATGTTTCATTTCTGAATACACAAGCCACAATCTCATTTCTCTCCCTATATATACTAAACATACCTTCATAATGCTATCACCCATCGACGAAAGAGCTTTTGTTGCTATCACTCATCAATGCAAGAGTTTCTTTGAATTCACTACCTCCCATCAACATGCAAGTTTCTTTGAATTCGCTACCACCTATCAACACACATGCGATTTCATCATGTATATCTTTATAAGAGCTTCTCACTAGCACTATACTATGATCTTTTTTTATTTTTCCTTTTTTATTTGTTTTTCCTTATTTTTCTTTGTTGTATTATGTATGTTAATGCGTAATTTTGTCAAAATATATACCATTAAATTTATAATAAATTTTAGAAATGTATCAATTTTTTCTTTTGTCTTTCTGTATAAATTATTATGCTTTTGGTAAAGTTCGTACAAATAAATACCAACAAACTATAATTTAATCAACCACTTAACCTAATTATATATTTTAATTAAAAATAAAAAAAATAATGGGAGGAAAAAATGCGACTCATTAGGTCCAACATACGTGCCACAAGTGAAAAAACTTCGAGATTTATTTGTTTCTTTCATGCCACATCATCACAAGTAGAAGTAAAAAGTTAAGTTATTGATCCACATCACATACCCTCCATAATTCAGCAATTGACGCACTATTGGAGATGCTATAATGTTTCATTTCTGAATACACAAGCCACAATCTCATTTCTCTCCCTATTTTTCTTCAATATGGGTATAAGTAGGGCTGGGCACGGTTCGGATACTCGAGTTTTTTGAGGTATTTGCTAACCGAACCGAACCGAGTAAATATTCGAACTTGCTAACCGGAACCGAAAATCTCGGTTAACCGAAAAAAAATCCTACTATTCGCGAATTAACCGAACCGAACCGAGCAAACCTAACACAAATCTATGTTAGGTTTGCTCGGTTCGGTTCGGTTCGGTTCGGTTAATTCGCGAATAGCCATACCAACAAGTTAGTTTAATATATATAAATATAATATATAATATATAATATAATATATATTTTATAAATTTTAATATAATATATGGTTCGGTTCGGTTCGGTTAACCGGGATAAAAAAATCCTAAAAATCGTAACGGAACCGAACCGAGCAAATACTTCCTTTGAGGTATTTGTAACCGAACCGAGTACCCCGGTTAACCGAAAATTTGGTTCAATTTCGATTCGAATCTACGATTCAGCGGTTCGGTTCGAATTTTTTGCCCAGGCCTAGGTATAAGAGCCGGCCTAATTTAGGCCACCCTCTTCTACTTGATATATAGAGAAAAGTTACATGACCTACTCCAAACATCACCTTTGACACTTTTAAACTAAAAAATACCTATATTATATATCTACAGATCCTCCTTATATATTATTCCCGAATACGTTGAGCCTACGTGGCTGTTTCTGGTGCTTCGGAATCCTACTTGGCAAAGAATCATGCTTCATAATTAGGTTTGGAAAAATAATATTCATATATTAATAATTAATAATTTAGGTTTGAACATTCCATAAATATTATTTAGTTAACTTAGGTATTTTAATATCAATTGTACTAATATAACCCTTTATTTCTTTGCAATTTTACACAGTGAGACACTAAGTGACTAATATATACCTAACTTTTGATTTGTTTTCTTCAATTAGCTATTGAATTATAAATGTATTTTAAAAGTTGATAACTTTTGTATTTATTATCGATTTTACATATATAATATATCAAATTAATCATCTTTTGATGATCTTCGATTTGACATCCATATTGTATATATGAAATAAATAAATTATATTTATCTTTATAATGATAAAAAATAATAATATTTATTAAAATTCATTAGGAAAATAAAATTATTTCTCAATTGATATATTTATGTTTAATATAGTTGTAAGTTAAAAAAATTATTATAATATAACACAGGTAAGTTGCACAAATAAAAAGTGTCATACTAAGTATATAATAATATATATATTTTTATAAAAAAGTATTAAATTTTCAACTACTTTTTCTCATTATTTTTAGATTTTAAGAAAAAAAAATAGTAAGTACTCGTGTAATGCACGAGCGTTGTACTAGTGAAATTATATTACTTTTAAACTATTGTAACTTTATAAAATGTTGCATAGTGTAACATATAAGTTACTATGAAAATTATTAAATAAATTACATCGTTAAACTTAAACTAATGGCTTCACCCGCGATTTTATTAAAAGGATATTCCAAGCCCCACCCGCAAGACCAACTAAATCCACTCACTCATCCGTCAACAAAAAATAATTTATCCCATCAAAATTCCTTTTTAAAACATATGAAAGACCCAAAAAGTATATTATAAAAAAATAAAAAAAATAAAAAAAATCTCATCTATAAGTCCGCCATGTTTATATCTCATTGAAGCTGTTTTCTCTCACCATCGTCAGCCATGGAAATTTCTTGAAACCACCTTCAAAATCAACTTACGAGTCCCTCAGCTTACTCAAATTTAAAGTACCCTATTCGCCAACGGTCCGTATCCGAGCTCACCGATCATGGTCTCAATCGAAGATTCTCGTTCCCACTCCAACCCCAGCATCGCCGGCGCCGCCCCCTACGCCCAAACGCGGCCTTACTCCTACTACACTCTGCCGCCGTCCTCCGCCAAGATAAGCCGGTCGATGGGCCGGTCCATGCGGACAATCCGGTCTAACCTCTTCAGCGCCCACCAATCCGGCCCAATCCTCGAGTGCTCGCCCAACGTCTCCGAGAACCTCACCGACTCAGTCATCGACCTCCGACTCGGTGAGCTCGCCAGCAAATCGTCTCGCAACTCGAAAATCCCCTCGTCCTCCGACCTCGACGGTATACTCGACATCTCCACCGCCTTCAGCGACGTCTCCGCCTGCTCGAGCGACATCTCCGGCGAGCTCCAGCGCCTGGCCAACCTCCCTGACTCCGGTCCGAACGAGGGCGCGAGCTCGGATCCCGAGCCCGAACCTTGCTCCGGATTCCTACAGAGGGAGACGTTCTCCACGGAGATCATCGAGAGCATCTCGCCGGAGGACCTCCAGCCGACGGTCAAGCTCTGCGTCGACGGCCTGCAGTCACCGTCGGTAGCCGTGAAAAGGTCCGCGGCGGCCAAGCTACGCGTACTGGCTAAAAACCGAGCCGACAACCGAGCCTTGATCGGGGAATCCGGTGCTGTCTCCGCCCTTGTCCCGCTCCTCCGCTGCTCGGATCCGATGACCCAGGAGCACTCGGTCACCGCCCTCCTCAATCTCTCCCTTCACGAGGGCAACAAGAGCGTGATTACAAACGCCGGCGGCATCAAATCCCTAATCTATGTCCTGAAAACGGGCACCGAGACCTCAAAGCAGAATGCGGCCTGTGCTTTGCTCAGCCTAGCCCTGGTGGAGGAGTACAAGCTCTCGATTGGGGCCTCCGGGGCCATACCCCCGCTCGTGGCCCTATTGATTAACGGGTCAAACAGAGGGAAAAAGGATGCACTCACCACCCTCTACAAGCTTTGCTCAGAAAAGCTGAACAAGGAGAGGGCGGTTAGTGCTGGTGCAGTTAGGCCGCTGGTGGGGCTGGTGGGGGAGCAGGGGACTGGGCTGGCGGAGAAGGCTATGGTGGTTCTGAGTAGCCTGGCAGGGATTGAGATGGGGCAGGAGGCAATGGTGGAGGAAGGTGGGATTGCAGTCTTAGTGGAGGCAATCGAGGATGGTAGTGATAAAGGGAAGGAGTTTGCGGTTTTGACTCTGTTGCAGTTGTGTGCAGAGAGTGTGACAAACAGAGGATTGCTCGTTAGGGAAGGTGGGATTCCGCCATTGGTGGCTTTGTCTCAAACCGGGACGGCTAAAGCAAAGATTAAGGTTATTTCTCGGATTATTTTGTGTTGATTGTTCCTGTCGTTAGTTGTTTTTATTGGATTAGGTGTATGCTTTTTAACATTGCATCTTGTGAGGGGATGTGTCCTTTGATTTCAATTAGATAATTGAGTTAGTTTCCTTTGTTAAAGTTAAGTGTTCATACTTTTTTAGTTGGGGTCTTTCGATTATTGCACTTGGATGAAGCTTGATTCTTTGAGGTGTTCATTAGATTCATGCTGGGTCATGGAGGGATTTCTTTTTCTTCTCTTTATGTTTTCAATTATAACTTGTGGAATAGACTCCTAAATTATGTTGCTAATAATTGAGACTGAATGAGAACATGAAGACATAGATCATCCTGCAAGCTGCAAGAGGTACTTGATTCATGATGGTGTCTTTATCATGCTGTCTAAATTATCTCAATGATGTCTGTATTGTGGCTTTTAAGTTTCTAGTGTTGTGCTCTTCATACACATTTGGGCTACCGATTTATTATTTGTTCTGTTACATGAAATTGGTCTGGGAAGCTACTTTTAGCGCTTAGTTTAGAGGAATAATCACTAATGTGGTATTGTTTTCTTCTTATTTTCGATCATGATGGGCTACAATATTCTGGTTGTATTCTATGAGATTTAAAGAAATGCTTCAACTTTTCTTTTTTCATAAAAAGAAAATTCACTCAACTTCTTTTTCATGGCATTTTGTTCTCAATGAATGTTACTTGTTTAATTTTGTCAGGCTGAAAGGCTTCTTGGGTACTTGAGAGAACCGAGACGGGAAGCTTCTTCGTTGAGCCCATAAAGAAGGTAACTTGAGATGGCTCACTATTCATGCTTTTGCATTGGCTTGCTGCTGGCTGTGTATAGAAAATATTTGGTATTTGTACAGTGTGGCTGATTAAAATCCAGCATTATTAGTCTTCGAAAAAAAAGACAAAAGAAAAGAAAAACACTTAAAGAAGGTATCTAGCTAGTAAAGGAGCTGACCTATTATTAGTTGTGGTTTGGTTTGGATGATTTTTCTATTAGGAGGTTAATAAATCCCCCGGTTTCGCTGACTGCTACTGCTCTTTGTATGTGTTGAGAATTTGGGTTTTTCATCCTTGGTTTTGTTGTGGAGTGGTCCAAATTCTTGTAAGGTTTTTGCTATATGTTCGGTTTGAGACAATGTAAAAGAAAAAGGGACCGAAAGAAAAAAAAAAAAAAAATAAATCAGAATGAGTTGTGCTCTTTCGCAGTTTGGTTTGTAATACGATTGTCATATACTCTGTTTATCATCCTTTTCGCCTTTCTCGCCATGTTATCGTATCCTTTTTTCGGTTCTCTTTATATTTCTTTTTAGGAACTTGGCATTTTCTTGAACTGAATTGTGAACAAGGCCAACTCAAACACATGCCTTTGTTTCAATTTGAATGATAGCATCTTGAAGACAAGGGGCTCTCTTATTAGCTGGCCAACTTGCAGGACAGAGGTCCATCTTACCCTTTTTTTGTCTGAATTTAATGATGCTCAAAGATCAAAATTCAATCCATAAATGCCACTAAGATTCAAAAGGAACAAACAATCTTGTCTTAAATCCTGGATTTAAGTACTTGTTTGCCTTTCTGAGTTTAACAGCAATGTTAAGTAGGATTAAAACATAAGCATGGGGAGTTAAGGGCTAATGACTATTTGGTATAAAGTGTGTGATTATTTTATCCAGCTGCAAGTGTGATGGGGACCTACCAACCAACAAAACTGCAGGCACATCACCTGATAAGCCCAGCCAACCACCCACCAAACCTACACCAGATAACCCGGTTTAGTTAAATATTGTTGGGCTATGCCTATTTTACATGTTCACTTGTAAACTTTTGTTAAAAAATGTGACATTCAAGATAAAACTATACATAAGCCATTTAAAAATCAATCACACAAATACTATAAAAGTTAGTATATATATATATATATATATATATATTTGTAATTAATGTAAAAACTTTTTAAATATGAAAATAAAATGAGACTTGAGGGTTAATGGTAGATTTAAAAATAGGGAAATGCTACGGTCATGTACGGAACCATTCCGTCGGGGTTTGTAACTGTTAGATTAACTATCCTCGACGGTTACATAATGATCTAACGGTTACAAACTCTGACGGGATGATCTTGTAACGGGGCTGTAGCATCTCCCTCAAAAGTAAATGGTGTAATTTTAAACTTAAAATTTATTTTTTTTTTTGATGGAATGATCTCGTAACGGAATCGTAGCATATGCTTTAAAAGTAAATGGTGTAAGTAACTTTAAACTTAAAAAATTCTCTTTTTATTTTTTTTTAATTATTATTATTTCCTAAATATTTCTTGTTTCTCTCTCCTTGCTCCTGCCATATCTTTGTTATTATTTCCTTAGCTGGCAGGGCAAGCACGTGTAGTTAAACGATGGCTGTGGATTGCAAAAAGTTTTTTATTTTTTACATTTCAAGGAAAAAATAATAATAATAATAAAATAAAATAAAATAAAATAAAAGAACAGTTGGTGGTTGAAGAGTAATGATGCTCTTATTACAACGTTTGTAAAACGATTGGGAATCATCCTCAAAATAATGATGACAACCTAATCCAACCTGTCGCGAGTGAATTAAATAATAATAATAATAACTAGTACAACTCTCGTGTATTACACGGGTGTTTGTTAATTGTTTTCTTAAAATCTAAATTAATAAGAAAAAGTAGTTGAAAATTTAAATACCTTTTATAAAAATATATATATTATTATATATTTATTATGACTTTTTTTATTGGTGCAACTTACATGTGTTATATTATAATAATTTTTTTTAACTTACAACATATAACTACATTATACGTAAATATATCAATTGAAAAATAATTTTATTTTTCTAATGAATTTTAATAAATATTATTATTTTTTATTATTATAAAGATAAATATAATTTATTTATTTCATATATACAATATGGATGTTAAATCGAAAATCATCAAAAGATGATTAATTTGATATATTATATATGTAAAATCGATAAGAAATACAAAAGTTATCAAGTTTTAAAATACATTTACAATTCAACAGTTAATTGAAGGAAACAAAACAAAAGTGAAGGATATATTAGTCACTTAGTGTCTCACTATGTAAAATTACAAAGAATTAAAAGGTTATATTAGTACAAGTGATATTAAAATACCTAAGTTAGCTAAATAATATTTATGGAATGTCTGAACCTATATTATTAATTATTAATATATCAATATTATTTGTCCAAACCTAATTACGAAGTATGATTTTTTGCCAAGTAATATTCCGAAGCACCAGAACCAGCCACGTAGACTCAGCGCATTCGAAAATTATATATAGGGAGGATAATAATAATAATAATAATAATAATAATAATAATAATAATAATAATAATGATCTATAATTCTGTTAATAATAATCTATAATACTGCTATATGATTTTGTTATGGAGCCATCAAATAATATGGTAATTTATAATTAGTAATAAACGATGTATACAATTGTTGTCTTAAAATAAAGATCTGATCGACGATCAAGAGATGTCGTTGGATTTCTTGTGAAAAGAGCTTTCTACACATATATTTCCAGTAGTATTATCGTGT